GTAAGTGCCCTAGCCACTATGCTACGTACCTAACTGCACATTTCCTCTCACTCCAGTACCTTTAATCTCCCATTCAGCACCTATCTTGTAAGAGCCTAATTTCTTCATTAAATCAAGGTATAAATCTGTGGCTGACCTTTGTGAAGTATGCATTTGAAGGAGCCAAGTGCAGCACACCGGTCAAGTAGAAACAGGAATTAAGTCAGCTAGTCAGAGCTTGGCAATAATAAATTGCATAGGACCATGATGCTGTGTATCTGTAAATTTTGTTCATTCTTGAAGTATTTTTAAAACTCACAACCACTTTATTACATTCTGACCAGACTGTTTTATCCAAGTCAAAGTCTGTCAAAATCCGGGAAAATTATAAATTCAGAGTTTGATTACAAATAAGAGAAAAAATAAATGTGGGCATTGCCAGTATCAAAAATGTTGCAGCCTCTCTTATCAGCGAGGTGACAAGACAGCTGTCCTACTTCTCTGACTGTGAAATTGGATAACTCTTCTTCAAAATAATGTCTGGGATTGGGGACATAAGTTTTGGTAAGGAATGGATTTTTAAACTTGCTTAGGCATTTACAGATGTCTTTAGCTTTTTGAAATTTCACCTCTTCTTTATATGTAACTGTGGGTGTTTGAATATTACTAAAATACTACTTGGCTTTTATGGACACTTTGGGTAAAAGTATATTGTCATCTTGCTAAACAGAATTTTTAAGACAGTTTTTATTTTTTTCAAGATGAAGTGACTGAAAATTCTTGAGATTGATAAATAAAACACACAGGTCTAAACTACTTTAAATCCCAACAGATGATTAGGAACTGATTCTTGGATTGGGAGACACCAAGATCTTCTGAAGGAAAATAAGGCATATAAGGCAATACCAGTACAGTCCTCCCCAGTAACAGCTGTGTATACCTTTGACACTGCACTTGCATGTTTTTTCTCATGTAGCATGATTTCTAAAACTTCCAGAGAACACATAATACAAAATAGCTAGCAAGTAAATAGCCAACTAAAGAAGCATGTACCTCAGGCCTGCCATTTGAGCATGTATCCCTGCTAGAAATCACTTCTGCATCGTAAAAATGGCTATAAAGAAAAAGAATAAAACTTTGTGGTTTAGCCTATCACTGTCTAGTTTGATTTAACAAGCAGTTTCATTTTTCTGCTGATGCAAATATTAAACAAGAACCATGAAATCATTCTAGGGAGTATCAGAGTTACATCTGCACTGCTTTCTTGTATGGTATCAGCTTTTGTGTAATAAGAATGTCAGTGATCTTTCCATTCATTGTTTTCATCCTTTTGGTCACAATCTGACATGCTACACTGTAAATCGAGTTAAAATATATACAGTGTATCTGAGCAAAAAAAATTATCCCATCTTATAATGAGTGTGACAACTAATCAGACAATGATCTTTTGTCACTCATTACATATCTAAGAAATAGCACCATTAAAACTAATCACATCCACCAGCATAAAAATAAATGAGAAAATTGAGGCTGAAGTTTCAGCAGGCATAGCAATGTATAATAATAAATTAATTTTCATCTAGCATGTACTGTCTACTTTTTCCATGAAGATGTATTACTACTGAGAGTTTACACCTGCTCTCTTTTCCTGGCATACAAAATATATTTGGTCATTCTTTATGATCCCTTGCTTATGCCCGGTATTTGATTATACTTTGGGTTTGAACTTTACGATGCAAGTTGGTCACAAGTAAAATTCTAGAACTTCATCACTAAATTAAATTATCTAAGTTGGAAGAGAAAAGGCTATTGACCTCTGCATTCATCCTGTGTGATGAATCCAGACTCTGGAAAAAGCTCTCCTATGGAATTCAACTGCTCTGCATTTCATAATCAAAGAAGTGCAGAAGTGTGTCATCACTCAGCTGGTGTAAAGGGAAAGATCAGGTGTGTCCCGTCCCACTTGGTGGGTTTCGGGCAGGTGAATCTTTTGTATCCTCCCTTTTAAAGGCAGAGACCCTTTGTCAGCAGAGGTAGCAAGTTAATAACCCTCTTTGGTCAGTAGATTGGCAGCAATAACACACTTTGATAGTAATAATATTTCACAGATCGGATAAAGGTAATGTTTCACAGATCAGATAAAATAGTATTTCACAGATCGGATAAAAGTATGCATTTCCTTAATTCTATCTAATAATATGGAGAGAGAAGAAAAAAAAAAAAAAAAAGAGGGGAAAAAGAGAAAGAAAGAAAGAAAGAGATAAAGAGATATCACCACTCCTGGGGCCTAGCGATGTCTCACAGGTCCGGTCTGATCTTTGGTTCTTCAGTGGTAGGTGCACACCTGTGTCTTGATTATTGGCACTTTTATTGTCCCTTCCACTAATATTCACAAGTCCTGTTCACCGTTATCCCCTCCTGGCTTTCCATGCTAATCGGGATGCAGGCACAGTATACAACATTTTGGGGTTTCCAAGGGGGTCCTGTCCACTATAGATAAGGGAGTGGACCTTCTCAAGTCCCGTGGACACCTGTAGATAAGGGATTGGCCCTCCCCAAGTCCAGAAACACCCCTCTTCTGCAGGGTTTGTCTGTTTGGATAGGGGAGGGTGGGTAGCTGCTCCAACTGAAACCCCCCCATTATTGATCGTCCCAACTAAAGTTTCTGAAGGGAGAACACTGCTCCACCTTCCTACCTCCAAGGAGGGGGCACCACTTCACCCTTTTATCTCTGGGGAGAGAGCACCGCTCCACCTTCGCAGGGCTTGTTCCCTCCCTGGAGCAGGCTGTACTGCAAAGCAGGCTGTTCTTAGGGTCAACACATGAAACTCACACTGTAAAAGAGGTTTGTTCAAGATACATACATAAAATCTGCAAAACAGGTTGTTTAAGGCAAAAAATTCAGACTGTCCTTCACAAGGTGTCAGTAATGAATGCTCTAGCTCTGTTACAGAAATAACAGCCAGGACAGCTAACACAATCTGCAGTTCACACTCCCTGCATTTCTCATAAAACCAAGCAGTCTCCAAAGTATACTAGCCTGTGTTTGTAAACAGTGTCTGGTATTTTTTTTCCCAATCATAAGCACTTGTTCCAGGCTCTATTCTGTGGATGTGCTGCGTTCAGAAATCCCACAGAAGCCACCATCGTTGACTTTTTCACCTGACTGCTCCTGGAGCATCTGCACCAGCATATAAGTTCATAATGGCAGGATTGCATTAATTTCAATAACACGAATAGCAAAAAGCACTAAAAGGGAAAACTACATTCTTAATTTGTAGTTCATCCTCAGTGATTCTGAGAAAATGTACTTGAACATTAGTCAAAATGCAGCTGCAATGATAATTAAAGTAGACATCACCTAAGTAATTTATTCTTCAATATGTTCTTTAAACTGAGGCTTTAATAAATATTTTAAATCTCTGTTCTTACATTCTCTTGACAGCATCATCTCTTTCTCCCCCATCTCCTGCAAACAGGATTGTATCAACCGCCCTTGGATGCTAGAAATTCCTTCTCGGCCTAGCAGGTGGAATACAGAAAATGCTGCATCAGATTAAAAAAATCTGACCTAGGAAAAGATGTGATCCACTAAAACAACTACAAAAGCATCCTGGCAAGGCTCAACTTCCCAGAGTCCCAGAACTTTTTCTACAGCACTGAGCATAACTTCAAGCACCACTGAACTGGCCAGTCTTTGACAGAACCACTCCTGAGGTAGTGCTCATTACAGAGCGTATCCCTAATAAAATTCACCTAAATTGCAAGCTCTTTAGAGCAGTAATCATTCACAAGCATTTGGAAACACACTAGTAAGTGGCAGGCATTACTAGAAAAAATTTTTAACACTAATTTATTTCAGAATTTATCTCTACATTTATATATTTAACTTAAGGGTTATATTTACAGGACATGTTATTCCTGATGTTGAAAACTGAACTTGCATACCTTTCCCTGCTTTTCATCCACACAACACTTAGGATATCTGTAGCCTTGTAATTCTGCTCTTTTAAAGAATGTTCTTTTGTGAATCCTAACTCTGAAGATTTATCCATATAAAAAATATGGCCCAGCAGCTTTTAAAAAGTGCCAAAATACATTAAAACTGAAACAATCCAGCAGTAGTTATATCTAGCTTAATTATAGAGATATCTGTTATTTGGGAACATGTAGCACAGTAACAAGCAAATGACGTTCAGTATTCTTCCTGTTCATACTGGCTGTGGGCTGAGAGCTAAAAAGAGGCTCTGCCAACATGCACCCAGTGAATCTGCTGGTGTAGGACTGCAGTTGGACAACTTCCTTTCCCTAAGACTGAATTACCCATCTCTTAATAATCAGTCTAAGCCAGGTTCCCATGCTGGCTCTTACAGTGTTATATAGTCCTCAAATCGCATAATCCCCCCAGCAATCCAAGGAGCAGGTGAATGCGGGTAACTGAAGCCCAAATTTGTTCTAAGTAGACATTTGTTAGATTATCTTAATGCTGCAACTTGTACTGTGACTCTAGTGATGCAAGCCACCTGGCCTATGAGAAAAAAAAAAAAGCAAACAACAAAACACAAAAAGACCAATGCATCAGGGTATGGCTACACTGCACAATGCCTTTTGTTCAGCTGCCTCAGAATGATGATCCACTCGGAGACGTTTCCCTTACCCACAGTGATTCTAAACCCTGTGCAGTATCTCCCTCCAGCACTATTCTAAAGGACAGAAACGACATACTGAAGCTGAGAACACGATGGAAAGTATATGCATACCATTACCGTGCCATTCCAGAGCACACCACGGCAACATAAATGCTACACTGAGAACGCATTTTCAGTTAAACAAAATACTAACATGCACAGATTCTCACACGGACATATCAAAAGGGACAACCAACTGATGTTCGAAGGTAAAATAATTCTTAGTACTCTTTCTGCATGCTTAGTGTTTACTACGGGCCATGCAAAGAGCTAAAAGGATTCTTCACTTGACTGCTGTAAGAGCTCCCTCTGTTGTTAACACAGAAAAACTACCAAAAACCACGTTCCGTTATCCTTGCATCTTTTTCATCTTCAAGTGGCGAATTTTCAAACACTTCATCCTGTGGGGTGAGAATCGATATGATTTTCTGACATAGCTTTTCATGCTTATTTTCTGCACAAGCAGCTGCTGTCTTATTCCAGTCTTCCAAAGTGCAGATGGTATCATTTAGAATAACCTGTTCCAATGTATCTAAGGAAAAAACAACCACATTTACAGATCCTGCATTTGCCCTGATAAGCTTTGTACTATTCATATTAAGCATACTGCACAAATCATTCACTGTTTTTATAGACGGATTATAAATCCTAAAACTGATCTTTTTTTTTAAAAAAAAAAAAAAAAAAGAAAAAAAAAAAAAAGAAAGAAAGAAAGAAAAAGAAAGCTGATCAAATTAAAGATCCAGAAGGAAAACAGTGTTTATCTTAGTTGAAAAAGCTTAAAGGCCAAAATCCCTGATTGCACTCGAAATCACTTCTGAAATCTGCAAGAGCAGTAGAATGACAGGGGAGTTGCAGGCACTGAAGTTAAGGGCTGTTTATTGGAGCAAGACATAATAAGCACAACAGACACAAAAAAAAACCCCGTCCCTGTATGCAGCAAACCTGATTTTCAGAAATATAATCTTTAAATTTAAGTATTTTCCTGGCTAAGTCCTGGCAGATAAGTATTAGTTTGTCTGCAGAGTAGTTTCAGGACCTGGCACTTGCTGCCCATGTGGTTTGTCACAGCTGTGTGCCCTTGGCTTGAGTTCATGCTGCCTGAAGAACTTCAGCCACAGTGTAAAAAACAAACAAAGTCCCTCTGAAAACTCACAAACCTTACAACAAAGCAGAACTTGGTTTATTTTTTTTCTGTCCTAAACAGTAAGCGCTGAAGTTGCAGGTTGCCCAAGAGCCAGCCTATAGAGGCTCTGCTAGAAACAAGCAAAGTGCCTGCAGAGTTATTTCAGTGGCAGGGAGTGCCCCAAGGGGTGCTCTCTGAAAAGCACAGACTGAACCTGTGCGTGAGTGAAAGCAGGATGGGCTGTCAAACCTGACACAGTGACCTTCATCCCTGTGGGAGCTCTGGAAGATGCAAGAATGCACAGTTCAGCTCACTGTGAGGGAAAAGCTCTTACTCAGATCATATTATAAACTAGGAGCACAGAATCCAAAGTAATTTATAGGCTAAAACGGGAGTTGAATTAAAATTCCAAGTTTGAAAGTTTGTTATTAAAATTTTGCTGTGCTTACTTTCCTTGTTCATTTCCTCCAATAGCTCAAAACCATGGTTTTTGTGATCGGCTGAGAGAAAAGACAGGATTGTAGCCCTCATAGATGAAAATGGCAGTTTCCTAATCCATTGCTGACTGAGACAGATAATTAATGCAGTACTAGGACAGTTTTCCAACAGAAAGAAGTAATCATCTGAAAAATCAAATACCAAGATTATTATGTATTTCCATATGGTTACCTCTCCCTTTCCTCACATAAAAACCCACAATGATCTTGACTGATTCTCCTGAACAGTGTGGAAAAGCTAGTGGTGACATTAAAATCTGACCTTCTTTTACTTGGAAAAAATACATATAAAGAATATTTTTTCCTGTAATTATTTTAGAAATCTCATAGAATGAGAAAATCAACAAACACTAGAAGAGATGATAATCTGAAAATCCTCCCTTAAAATTACCTGAAATACAGCCAGGAAATAAAGTAAGAATGAAAAAGTGTAACTTAACTGAGCAACAACAGTCTAAGCAAGAATACATCTAGAAGAAAAAAAGGACACTGTCAGAAGGCAGCTAAGTAGAAAGGAACCTGAGAAAGAACACAGGGTACCTTTCTTCCCTTTCATCATTTGATTAATGAACTCACAATCCACCAGACAGGGTCAAATCAACCTTGGTTTTGGAGCTGTAGGCTATGAGAACCCCCACAGCCTCCTACTGGGGTCCTTGCCAAAATGCTGTGGAGATTTTCTAGCAGGTGTACAAAAAGTAATCCCTTAATTCATCAGAGCACGCGCATATTGCTATTATGATAAAATAAGTAGGGACAATTAACAGAGCTTTTGACATCTCAGTAAACACAACAACAAAAGTTGGAATATTTGTATTCACTTCTAATGCTTTCTATACAAACGTGGTCAAAAACATCACTGTAAACCTAAAATAAATATATTATAGGACAACCATGAAAGACAAGTACCTTATTATTTACTTAAAGAAAAATGTTCCAGTTGCTGAACATAACCCATTGCTTCAGAAATTTGGCCCTGTTTACATAGACACAGAGCAACTTCTTTGTGTGCACCAGTCTGACCATACACGACCTGAGCCAAAGCCAGGCATTTTGACTCATTGCTTGATTCCACCTTCCCATAGTCACAAATAGTGTCTCCTACTGCCTCAGAAAAAGTTAACCTGAAGAAGACAAGGTAATAAAACAAACCAGGGTTACTAATGTGTTCTGTAGCTTTGTGTCATGGTTTGACCCCAGCCAGCAACTAAGCACCCCACAGCCATTCGCTCACTGCACCCAGGAGGGAGGGGGGAGAGAATCAGAAGAGTAAAAGTAGGAAAACTTGTGGGTTGAGATAAGAACAGTGTAATAATTGAAATAAATACTACTACTACTACTAAAAAAAAAATTGTAATGAAAAGGAAAATAACAAAAAAAGAGCGAAATGAAAACCTAGAAAAACAAGTGATGTAAATGAAAAACAATTGCTCACCATCAACTGACCAGTGCCCAGCCTGTTCTGAGCAGCGGCCCCCCAGCCAGCCTTCCCTCTAGTTTATATACTGGACATGACATCATAAGGTATGGACTATCCCTTTGGCCAGTTGGGGTCAGCTGTCCTGGCTGTGTCCCCTCCCAGCTTCTTGTGCATCCCCAGCCTCCTTGCTGGCAGAACAGCATGAGAAGCTGAAAAGCCCTTGATTTAGTGTAAGCACTGCTCAGCAACAACTAAAACATCAGTGTGTTATCAACATTATTCTCACCCTAAATCAAAAACACAGCACTGTACCAACCACTAGGAAGAAAATTAACTCTATTCCAGACAGGTCACTATGGAATATTTCAAACCCAGCTACAACAAATGGATTGTGTAGATGGGTATATTTCTGTATTAAACTACAGCAGGACAGGTTATGGGTTAGGACTGAAACAAAGAAGTGGTATTTTCACCCCGACACAAGGTGGTTTAGAATCTCAACTTAAAATCAAAATATGGGCTAGCGTTAAAGAATGCTGTTGCTCTTCACAGGAGTCTTTCAGCAGAGAGACACCCGTTATAGTTAATTTAATACCAGACTGTTCTAGTTGGATTTTTACCATTTCAAACACATCTACACTGGATTAGGAAAAGGTATCTCTGACAGTTTAACATCTTTTCCAAACCAAAAATGGAAAAATTATGTATTTCTAGAAATTCGAATATGATCCTATCCTGTCCCCATAAATGGAAAAACTGAGGCCAAGTGCAGGTATGGGGTTTACAGTTTAAGCATGTTGTTAGTGTATTTGTGTTTGAAACTGTGGATCTGGTACTGACATCAACCATAAAATGAAAGAAATTAATATCCTAGTAATTACCTTTTTTTAATCCACAGAAGCCTGTAAAAATCTCATATCTGTATAGTTTTGAAGTACAGTGTAAGAGGAAAGAGTCTCAAACAAAACTGGAGTCTACAATGCTGTAAGAAAGGCTGACAGCGACCAAAACAAAATGCGTTCTTCAGAAGGAGCTGTTGGTATTTCTTGTTTGGTCTATGCTCGATCTGAATTTAGGATTTAATAAAAGAATAGAAAAATACATCCATTAATGTATTTTTGGTTGTGTTTTGTTTGAAACGATTTACTTTGAAGAAAAGGCAAAGCCTCATGACTTGGGAAGCAATGGAGGACGGCATACCCCTCTGTGAATCTCCATGCAGAAGAACCACATACCTTTGCTGTTTAACCCAATCTTTTACTAAATGTAATTGCTTTTCAGACAATGCACATTTGATTGACTCCAGAGATACAGCTGAATTTGGAAGGTGTCCAGCTGCAGTACTTGAGTTTACATCAAAATCCTTCAGCAAAAGGAGATTTCTTCCTTTAAGACAGCTAACAGCTAAAGGGATGAAAACAAAAGTCTTTGGCTGAGCACCCAGAAAAGCATCTTTCACTGTTTAAGACTTTTTAAGTTTTAGACTTTGTTTGCTGATACCCACCAAACGCCTTTGTTATTTACTCCAAATGAAGGTTGCTCAAAACTGAAGGCAGAGGGTTCTTGACAGTATTTTACCATTGACAGGTAATGGGTAAATCTCAGGTGGGTTGTGGGGTCTTTAAAACATACAGTTTTTCAAGTGAGAATACAGAAAATACATCTGCTGCTAAGACTACAAATTTTGTAATTCAGATTCTGAGTACTAGCTTATCACAGTTTTTCCCTGTTATTGCCTTTAAAACTTGAACAAAAGCCAATAAAATATGCAGAGAAAAAAAATCAAATGTTGATATTGTAAAGTTCAGCGATGCCCCTATGGCTCCTTCCAAAGGAAGGACAAAATACTCCACTGCTTCAGTCTCTGACATCATCAATGTCACTGAATTTTGTGTTTCGAAATGCAAACAAAAACATCGAGAGGAAGACAAAATGATAAAGACTATTTTGCATTTATCTGGGATATTTTAAATCATCAATCGTTTTTATATACCTTAGATTTCAGAAACTAATTTTAATGAATCTAACTAGAATATTGCTTTACAACTGAAAAGACTACACTTGAGTAATTAAAACACATAACAGTAAGGACTGGACCTGGTAGACCTTTGCTCTTGTCTGTTGCCCATAATTTATCAGTAGAAATCTTGAAGCATGTCCTTAACATACAACAAAGGGGAAAAAAAGCCTTATTGCTTTTCTTACCTTCAATTTGGAATATTAAACATAAGCTTCAAACCCACACAAACAATTCTCATTTGATAAATCCCAAATTCCTAAGCACTGAAATGACTAGACTAACATAAACTAAAATCCTGTTAGAAAGGACCCAATCATCAAGTTCTTACATTTAAGTGCTTCTGAGCTTCTTCATTCTCATAGAGAATTCCACTAGAATTTAGTGTATAAGGTGCTGCAGCATCATACCGACCATTTGATAGTAATTCACTGAAACTATGAAAGGGGAAGAAATAAACAAACAAAGAACATGGTATGTTATATAAACACTAAATAAATGCACAGATACATACATAAAATGGCTGGCTGATGGTACAGCAACCTAGTCAAGAAGCCCAAACACTGAGAATACACAGCTTTAATACACATATTTAAACCTAGTGTATCTTCATCACACCGTTTTCTAGTATGAAGCAGCAATGTTGTTTCCACTCATCCAGTTAACATCTCTTCTGCCTCACTACCTAGTGCTTCTGACAACACCCATCATGAAAACTTAAGAGAAAACTAGGAGGGAGTTATCTATGGGCAACTGGAAAGAGAAATAACTACATTTTAATATATGTCTTGTAAAAGACTAACGTTTGGGAAGGACTAATATAATTAAATGGCCAGAAACAGGAGAGAGTTATTTCTGTGCAACAGTTACACAGCAGGCTATATGAGATGAGTTGACGAACTGATCCCTATTTTGAATAACTCAGATTTGATAATCACAAACGTTATTAAAAACTAAGGCACTCATTTGGAGAGCAGCAGCAACCATTTCCATGTAATAAAATATACTTTCTCTAGATGAGCACTAAATGTCCTTATCACTTACAGGTGTGGCAAACCAAAGGAGCAGGGGCTGTGTATTTTCATGTCTTAAATAGCGGTCCAACTCAAGATTTATAAGCAGACACAGTAACCCTAACCCCTACCCTACCCAGGAAAACTGAGAATCTTTATTTATTCCTGGCATCTCCCACCTCAGTCAGTGTCTGAAAAATGCAGACACAATTAGGCAGGCAGAAGTCCTTCAGGAACTTCAGCAATAATTTTTCAGCTGAACTGAAGAGCTGTTAACACTAACACAGGGCATATGGGATATATATCACAGGTCCTTTTAGCTATGTCCTGGTTTAGGACAGTTTTATAATCTCAAAACTGCCATAAAGTTGAGAAAAGTGGTTATTAAGCATGAACCCTACTGTACCTTCTGGTAGTATGAATTCATCATAGTGGCTTCTATTTGACTGCAGCGTACACAGGAGCATGAAAAATAGCTGAAAATACACCAATCCTTGATTTCTGTAAGAACACCACAGATTGCAATTGGTCTGCTTATACCCTTTTTCCCCAGAAGACAAAGCAGCAGCCAACCACTTTTTACCTATTAATTACTGTTCATTGCTTGTTTACCTGAAAAAATTTGTAACCTTATCAAATGGGTTATTGCATATAACGTAACACTCCTCAGGTGGTCCTTGCTCAGCACAACCCACTGTCTCAGTTTCTGTCAATACAGATGTTCGTACACTCTCCAATAATCTCCTGTCCTTCTCAAAAAGGGCGGGAGGGAGGACAGAATGCTTCTCTGCTCCCACACAATGGTTGGGCATAACAACCTAGCATCTTGATTACACAAAGTCTAAACCCCTTTCCTCCTGTGTTGAACAACTGCTTCAGATCAAAATCCAGAAGAGCTGAAATTGTTAAAATAGCATCAGCTGATACTCACGTATTCAAGCAAGTCTTCATTCTGCTTTAAACCTTCCTATACTCAATTTGCAAGCAGAAAACCCAACAAGTAATTTCCAAATTAACAGAACCATCACTGCTCCTCTATTCCTAACCCGCCTATAGCTTTTCTAATTCTAAAAACATTTTCCCCACAAACCCAGACAAATTTGACATTGATCTTGAGGAATCTGCAGGCGGCAGGGGTGGCTGCAGGATGTTTTTAAACTCCCTCCCCAGGGCCGGCCCGCGTGGACGCTGCAGCGCAAACCCACCTCCCTCAACAACTCGCCG